CTTGGACGATGACAACAACTAGTGAGTCGGCGTTGCGAGTTTTCGAGAGAAAAGTTCTGCGAAAGATTTATGGTCTTTGCGCATTGGCCACGGCGAATATCGCATTCGATGGAAAGATACGCTGTTTTAGATTTGTGACGACATTGACATAGTTCAGCAAATTAAAAAACAGCRACTACGCTGGCTAGGTCATGTTATCCGAATGGACGAAAACACTCCATCTCTGAAAGTATTCGACGCAGTCCTCGYCGGTKGAYGCAGAGGAAGAGGAAGACCTCCACTCCGTTGGAAGGACCAAGTGAAAAAGGACCTGRCTTCGCTTGGAATATCCAATTGGCGCCATCCAAACGGCTRTCGTGCTATTGTTAACTCGGCTATAATCGGCCAGTAAAGAAGAAGAAGGAAAGCCTTAAGGATCTGCAACTTGGTATGTGACTGTTTTACACGAAATTTGAGATAATTTCTCCGAGAAGCAGCAGTTAGGACTACAAATCTTTAACTCTAGATATCCTCACACGCACCCACAGAAATTTACTTGYATTACATTAGACATACCAAACATCAAAGTGGGTTTATCTTTATCATCGCTTTTTTATATTCTTGCAACCAGTTGCTACAGAGTGTTATAGTTTTGTTCACCTAAGGGTTGTATGTACGTATCACCTAAAACTAAGCGAGATAGATATAGTTTTATATATTTCTAAATGATCAGAATGGCGAAAAATTTGAAATCCAGTAGACTGTCTGTCCTGTCTCTTATACACATCTAGATGTGTATAAGAGACAGGTGTTATAGTTTTGTTCACCTAAGGGTTGTATGTACGTATCACCTAAAACTAAGCGAGATAGATATAGTTTTATATATTTCTAAATGATCAGAATGGCGAAAAATTTGAAATCCAGTAGACTGTCTGTCTGTCCGACCGTCCGTGCAAGCTGCAACTTGAGTAAAAATTGAGATACCTTAATGAAACTGGRCATGCAGGTTCCTTAGTACAAAAAAAAATTACGAGTCGTAGATGAGCGTAATCAGATTACTGCCACGCCCAGAAATTGCCACTAACCGAAAAAATTTGAGCGAAAACTTGACTTATCAGGATTATCGAACATTCGGCTGACTTTACTCTATATGATTGGTTTTACACCTTAAAGTATTTCCCTGGCTTCGACTTTTGCAAGTTGCAAGAGTATAAAATGTTCGGTTGCACCTGAACTCAGTCCTTCAATAAGGCAACAGCAGATACATATATCGTATATTACTTAAGAATGTTATGTAATGATTACGAAATATTTGAGAATAAAATATACTGTKTTTGGAAATATGTTAACACAGATCCAAACCCTGAAATGGTTAATGAATTAAATAACAATAATATTTAACTAAATAATTTATTATTAAAATAAGAGAATTATAATTTTATTTGAAAGAGTACGAATATTGTTTTTGTAAAAATCGTTTTGCTGCGTTAATTATTTAGTTTATTTGGTTCAAATTTTAAATTCTAAATTCTTATTCGATTGAAAGAAAGATATGATATGATATGAATGAAATCTGTGAACTCAGCTTATTTTATTTGGAGTCCACATATTTCACTTATCATTTTGTTGAGAACGTTAAGCAAGCCCAATAAGATAAAGCTTATAAATTAGTAGTTACGATATCGAATGTTAATTATCGCTAAATTTATAAAGTAACCTGCGAATGCTTTGTAGCCCTGTGTTACCTTAGTTAATTACTGCTATTCAACAGGTCCACCATTTTGTCGCTTTACTCAACTTATACTCAAAACATATACATACATACATACTTACTTACATACATAAGTATATGTATGCCAACAAGTACGCATCCGATAAAAGAACAATAAATAAATCTTGATAATCTCTTTTTCAACTGATCCTTACCTTACCAGTTATGACTTACACTCTTCACTCGTGAGCTACTACTACTTACATACGTGGTATATAAGTATGTCTTTTTGTTATGTTCACACAGTAAGTGCATCAAACACCCCCAACTGGACTTGTGATGTTTTTGATCTCTGAGTAATCACCGTGAGTGCATATTCGTTTTTTTATTTGTTCAAAATCAAATAATACTACACTAACACATACAGGCACAAGCATTGTCGAGTCGACGAGCCACCCCAAAAAACATTTGCTGGATTAAACCAAGTTGCCTCTCGCCTCTGCCACGGCGAGACGGTAAAAGCAGTACGAAAATATTGAACGCATCCAAGTAACCTCAAACAAAATAATTGTAAGCGTGGGAAAGGCAATGAGCAGACGGTTCTCACGYGCGATTGGCACGTGCAGGGCGCACTTTTACGTCGCTTTATGATTAATATTTGTATGCATGGTTTGTACGTGTATGTTGGCTACTACGTCTTGCTTTTGCGTCGAATAACTTTTGGCCGTAATGGTCCTCAGAAGGACATACATATACATTATTACAAACAAGATATCTATGTGCACCACTTTGCTCATAAAAATATATGGAAGTTTTTAATATTCTTTACAACATTATAACGTCCATACATATGTACTCGTAGATGCATATGTACATGCATATCGTAGATGTGTATAAGAGACAGGTGCACCACTTTGCTCATAAAAATATATGGAAGTTTTTAATATTCTTTACAACATTATAACGTCCATACATATGTACTCGTAGATGCATATGTACATGCATATCGTCCATTAAATACAAAAGAGTCACAACTCAAAAGTTTTCGACATATATTTTTTCAATATATCAATTCGTAATAAAGTTATCTATCTACGCAAGAAATTTTAATGTTACACACTTAACAGGAAAATCGCCGTTGAGTGCATATTTTCAATTGTCATAAACGCAATGCTCGCGTAGTTCTTTAAAAAATATAAATACTCAGATACATGCAATGCCGTGCAATGACCTGGTATGAACGACAAGCTCAACTGGTCTTTTTTATTATCAGAAATATAGTATAATTAACGATTTCGCCATGTTTAAAAAAAAAAAATACCTATGTGCTCTATCTGAACGTTCTTTCTAAAAGATAGGTGCAATTCTGAAGCTTTTTAGACCAGATCAATTGTGACGTGTTCGAAAAATAAGAACACATATCGAACACATATCGAACACAGACGTGTATTCATACAATTTTTGCAATAGTATTTTTCTCAAATTGATTTTCGACAAATATTTGTGAATGGTTCGAGTTTTAAAAAATGCACAAGTTGGTTATAAACAACCAACGGCAGTAATCCGTTATAATACTATTTTTGTCTGAAACTACTTCTGAGATCCTTTCCAAATTTCCGTCGCAATGGCATATCCTCTTCGAAGTAAGTTAGAACTAGGTCTTCCAGATTGTTATTAATATATGTTTGATATCCATTATTTCTGAGATCCTTACAAGAGTTGATTTGCTGATTAGGCAATCATAATTTTTTTTCCTAACCAAAGTCCACTGCAGTCTCTTTTGAGCTTGCAGCGGCCACCTTTTAAATTTTATTATCATTACGCATGTAACTCTCAAATGCTTCCTTATGAATGAGCGAAATCAGAAAATAACCACACCGCCTTTCCATATAACACAATTTTTAAAGCAAAAAAAGGGATCCTTTTACTATTCTTTTAAAATCCTTTTCTGATAATATTAAGCTTGTATGTCAAAAATGGGATAAATAGGAACAATAATTTGTTTACCCCCCATATACCTAATAGAAAGATTTTTGAACTTCCTGTTGACTTTATACATACACATACTATATCGGCAAATATGTGAGTTGGCCCTAACTCTATTTAGTTGACTTTACTACTTATGTATATGTACATTGGTGGTGGTAGGTGAGGCACTTTACTAAAACTAAGAGAGCATTTTTTTCGGTAATAATATGTAGTAGTGCCAAAAATACGCGAACTACCCATGTACCCAATGAAAGAGTTTCAAACTGTCGCTGGTTTTATACCATATATAGTGGTCAAAATGTTAAATAACTATCTTAGCAAAACTTACTCAACGGTTGTGTAATGCCGAAAATATGTGAAATGGGTACACGGTTTCAACAGTCCCACATACCACATACATGTATASATTTTCCTTATTCTTACAAACCTTATTCCGAATATGCCAGTCAGTGTACGAGTTATATACATATGTATGTATTCATAAAGTTGTTTGAATTCCTATCCTTTGGTTGACGTTTTGCACCTGAAGGTATTTTCATGACTTTGATCTCAGCAAGTATAAGAATATGAAACATAGCCTTTTCTTAGTTGTTTGTATAGGCATAATTATGATTGGGTTAAATGTTATCWTCACTTTTTTTTCGTTTTAAATCGTGGCATAAATTACTTGAGATTGGCAACCTAATAGATGACACTCACGCTAACGGCCACCTTGATATACCCACAGACGTTATGAAATTTGCGACTCACTTCTAGAACATTGAACCGCATCGGAATCAACAACTAGGAACGTATTTCACTGAAAATCYCCAACGACACACATTTCATCAAAAGTCCGTATTTTTGTTTCCTTAATATGTTATGAAAATTGAAGATGATCACTAGATTCGACTTCACTTTATAGTATATGTATGTATTTGAAACAGTGCGATATCGGCAATTCCAACAAACGAGTAGACTCCCAAAGCAAGTCCGTTCCATTCGAAACCGTTGCCGTGATATCAATGGAAACACAAATTTTTAGCAAACAAATTTTTAAATTTTTTTCGCGGTAGAAATAGCACAAATATACACAAAATCGCATATAGAAATCAAACTCCACACGAATACAAAAACAGTTGGAAAAATTTGGGAAATAAATCTTTATCGATTGGGTTTGCGCGCGAAGTTTATGTGGACTAGCCTGTTTACGGTTTAATTACACTGAAGATCAGATCGAGATCSTTTCTGAAAACAAATGAAATTTCAAATATTATGTTTCGTATATGAATGTATATGTATGTAGTATAGTATATGTATATTTATATAGTAGTGGTACAAATTAGAGGAGCGCTGAGAAGAAATATATATATATATACTATATAATGCAAAAAAAGGAATAATAAGTACATATTATTGCTTAATTTAAGACACAATTTCATTCTTAGATACATACAAGTATGTACATATGTACTATATGTTAGGTAAAAAGTTTGTATGTATGCATGTAAATATAAGCTATACGAGTATATCCGTTGCAGGTAGATATATGAACAATGTTAACAAATAGAATACTATTAAATAYTTGTAATAATACATTGGATTCACAACTTCACGATTATGCAATGCAGCGTTGCTTTAAACCTTGGACCGACACAGATTGCCACCAGCGAATTGGCGTCGCTCGTTGAGGGAGCTGCCCAGCAAGTCTTCATCCAGCCACGTTTCCAATGTCGTCGAACTGGAGCGAAAGCTAGACTTCTGCGACTCACTATCTAATTTAAATTGAGAAACMCGTTTTTCACTTGAATTATTCCAGTTCATATCCGTGGAATCATTCCAACTGTCATCGATGTAAAAATCATCGTCCAGCGAGTTGCCATTGATATCCCATTTAACAACRGGCATCAATTTATCAAAGCGGTCACGCTGCTCTCCTATAACCACGCTTTCGAATTTTCCCGGATTCTTAATTTCCAATTTCATTACATTTATAGGCACATATGCGGGTATATTTTGTGGAAAAGACTGGACGGCTGGTGGTTGACGCATACTGCCGCCGTTGTGGTTGCGTTTTGCTTCGGCGGTATTGCGAGTGCGTTTTGGTGGATCATTGAGCGGATCGGCGTTTGGTGTGCTCTCATTGTGTTTGTTATCATCAACGTTGTCTAAGCTCAAATTGGACGGAGTGCGACGGAAATAGCGTATATGCTTTTTATATTGCACTTTTTCGAAGACAGTGGAGTGTGTAGTGATTTCGGGCTCATACACTATTTCATCAGAAACAGTGTCGCCGCGCGGTTGCTCTAATCGTTGAAATTCATAGCCGTCARAGGTTAGAAACAAGCGTGTCGTCAGACTTTGCAGCATCGTGTTACTCTCGATATCGGTTAAACTTAAATTTTCTACGTCAGCCTCGTATGCCGATGATGTTTCGTAGTCTTGGACGGTATTATTTTCTTTGAAATTACATTTTTGATTACTAGTTTCGTTTTCCTGGGTATATTGCGTTTTTCGTAATGACGGTTCTTCRTAGTGCGAATGCGCGTCGGGATTATCATTAAATATTTCGTCTTCTTCTTCAAGTTTTATAGCAGACATCGGTTTGAAAGGAGTCATCTTGCGAAATATCTAAAACAACAAGTATATTTAGTGAAAATGCATCAATTTATAAAAAGAATGGATAGAAAAAAGTTAAACAAATTACTCATCAAACATTGAAATTAAACAAACCTTAACATTTTGTTAACACGTTAGACTTAAAAAAAAACAAGTAAGGAAGGGCTAAGTTCGTGTGTCACCGAACATTTTATACTCTCGCATGATAMAGTGATAATCGAGATTTCAGGCGTGGTTGTGAACCGATTTCACCCATATTTGGTACATGTCATCAGGRTRTTAAGAAAATATTATATACCGAATTTCATTGAAATCGGTGCAGTACTTCCTGAGATATGGTTTTTGGTCCATAAGTGGGCGACGCCACGCCCATTTTCAATTTAAAAAAAAATCCTGGATGCAACTTTCTTCTGACATTTCTTCCGTAAAATATAGTGTTTCTGACGTTTTTTGTTAGTCGGTTAATGCACTTTTAGTGATTTTCAACATAACCTTTGTATGGGAGGTGGGCGTGGTTATTATACGATTTCTTCCATTTTAGACCTGTACATGGAAATGCCTRAAAGAAACGACTCTATACAGTTTGGTTGACATAGCTATAGTAGTTTTCGAGATATGTACAAAAAAGTTAGTAGGGGCGGGGCCACGCCCACTTTAAAAAAAATTATGTCCAAATATGCCCCTCTCTAATGCGATCCTTTGTGCCAAATTTCATTTTAATGTCTTTATTTAAGGCTTAGTTATGACACTTTATAGGTTTTCGGTTTCCGCCATTTTGTGGGCGTGGCAGTGGGCCGATTTTGCCCATCTTCGAACTTAACCTTCTTATGGAGCCAAGAAATACGTGTACCAAGTTTCATCATGATATCTCAATTTTTACTCAAGTTACAGCTTGCACGGGCGGACGGATGGACAGACAGGCATCCGGATTTCAACTCTACTCGTCACCCTGATCACTTTGGTATATATAACCCTATATCTAACTCTTTTAGTTTTAGGACTTACAAAAAACCGTTATGTTAACAAAACTATTATATTCTCTTTAGCAACTTTGTTGCGAGAGTATAAAAATTGTAAATTTTGAACACACAAAGTACAAATTTCGATACTTTGTAAAAKTTGGATTATTTACATATGTAATTATTTAGTATAGTCATGGGTGTTGTTACAAATTCATATATAAATCAATATAACATTTTTTAATGAAGTTAATTTTATTTATTGCATATATTAAATAAGCAATGACAAAAATGTTTTCGAAATGTTTCTTTGCTTTTATACAAGTTCTCAAACCCCTTGGCCATTTGTTTTTTTGCACCCTCGAGAAATATTTTACAAAACTTGCATGGAAAGTTATTACTTATACTTAATGCATTCATTAAAAATTATTTTGAATTGTTTATAAATTAGTTGTCAGAAATGGACTAAAATCGAAAACTGTACCCCAATACTAGTTTTCATACTGCTATAAATTGAAAATTAAACTAGCTAGAAATAAGGCAATAATGTTATTAGATTCTTGCAGAGTATGTATAATAGTTTTGTTCACCTAGGTGTTTTATGTACGTATCACCTAAAACTAATTGWGAGAGATATAGGGTTATAAATGATCAGGATGACGAGACGAGTTSAATTCCGGGTGATTGTCTGTCCGTCCGTCTRCCTGTCTGTGTAAGCTGTAACTTGAGTAAAAATTGAGGAAGAGAGAACGAGTTCCTAGATGGGCACAAAAYGCCATTAAAAGAAAACCCATAAAGCGCCATAACTAAGCACTCTAGACGCTACCGGGAGCCGGGATAAAAATTGGCGTAGCTATCAGTTTTATYTATCGGACAACAACCACGTCTACTTCCCTAGAACACAATTTTAAATTCCATTTGATTCCTTAACTTTCTAGTATATATGTAAATCAATATGCAGTTAATACCTGTATAACGAGATAAAACTTTGCACGAATAGAGCCTTGATRTATGCCACCATATGACAAGAAGTGAAGAAGTCCAAATCAGGCTAAAACTAGGTATCCGAATATGTGGACCCCAGCTCCAATGGTTGACTTTTTTCGACAAATATTGGTCAATGTATGAGATATATATTAGGTCTACAACTTTGCCTTCGCCATTTTTTTTTTGTTTTGTTTTGTAAATTTAAGGCTTTATTGTATAAAAACGGCCCAAAAGTGTTTTCCCTCATTTCCTCAAAAAGCAATGCTTTATTAACACACGAAATGCTTTATGATCCATTTTTTTGTAAACTAACACAAGTTACTTTACAAAAATTCTATATTTTTTTAATACATAATAGAAATCATATAGATGGTAGTAGTAGAGTAATAKTATTATCTATGTATGTGTCAGCCTCAGCCCACTTTTCATGGAATTAAAAAAAAAGCAAAATTTCCCGCAAATGTCGAGAATTCGGCTCAAAAAGTGGCATTTTCAGTTAAGAATAAGTTTGGGATGCAAACAGATCTCTACAAATATTTTGTCGGGTTAATGTTGACACAAATGCCCAAGACCGATATAAAACGATTTAATCGATCAGTACTTGACCCTAGATCTAYTGGAAAACGGCGGAAGCAAAGTTGTAGACCTAGTAAATAAATTCAGTGATAATCCATTCCTGATAARGGTATGTCAGTGTGTTTAATCGGGTGAATACCTCCCTTAGCTTCCATATACCTAATACAACGACTTTCGAACATCCAAGAGGCTTTATACCGCATATATCGATCAATATGTGAGTTATCTTAATAAAATTGAGAGAGCTTGTTTTTCTTATTACGATGCATCTTTGTGCTTAAAATTAACAAAATCAGGTGAAAACTCGCCCTACACCCCACATTACATAAGCCCATGTACCTGAAGGTACTTCCCTGACTTTAATCCTTGCAAGTTGCAGGTGTATGAAATGTTCGGATACACCCGAATTTAGGCCTTCCTTGCTTTTTTAATTTAAGGTCATTTAGCCCTTCGGCTATCTGCCCACTTTTAGATTTGTAGGCACTGGTAACTATAGACAGTTGATACTTTTCTCTACATATAAGAGTTTGTTTGAATTTGAATGAGAACACGCACACATATAAAAATATTAACCTTGGCTGCACCGGAGCTATAATATCCAGACAATATTTATTATATAGCGAAAAGCAATTTTCACGTTCTTTAAGGTTCGTTTTATGTAAATTCAAATGACAACGTCAATACCTGATTTTTTTTTTTTTTTGTTAAACTTTCGGGGCGTTTCACCGGGACAAATATTAACCATTTGAATGAGGCAAGAAATGCCATTACCATCAATAGTAATTAGTTCTGGAAGGAGATCGTAAATAACTACACAGATGTCCATTAAGATAACTGAAAAATTGTCCACATGCTCTGCCTCGAGTTCGGTGGAAGAACCGAAAATCATTTTATGAAGTACAGGGCGCTTTCCAAAGTAAACAGGACTTAAAAAAGGAAAAATCGTTTTTTCGGCAAAATCAATTTATTTTATTCAAAGGAGACTATCTCCTTCTGTTTCAATACAKCTTTTTGCACGGTCCAAAACCATGTTCAAAGAGTGTTTTAGCTAGTTGGCCGGTATGGCCGCCAGAATGCCAGTGCAAGCCTTTTGAATGGCCTCTACATCTGCATAATGCTTCCCTTTCATGGGTAAATTCTTTCTTCTAAAAAGGAAAAAGTCTCACAAACATACTGGCACTTATATCGCGACAACTTCACTTCTAATCCATGAAATGTTATGAAATTCTCACTGGACAATCGATAAAGATAGCATATTCTAACGCACTAGTCGAAAAAGTCCTGTTTACTTTGGAACGCTCCTTGTATAAGGGAGCTTGGTAATGAGTGGACCAATTTCAACTGTTTACGCCAACAATGGCTAAGTGTGAAATTTAGTTGAGTAGTTGTTAGACTATGGTATTTCACCTAAATGGGGGAGTATTTTGTTGAGTGTGAATTTTAGAGCTTCTAGGGCTGTCTCTTATACACATCTAGATGTGTATAAGAGACAGATTTTCAATCATTAATTAATCAACGAATTGCGAAAAAAATAAATAATCGAATTAATTAAAAAAATATATTAATTCAATTGATTATTAATTTTAATCCCTTTTTAACAGCTTTCAAAACCTGTCTCTTATACACATCTAGATGTGTATAAGAGACAGACTATTTACTTCTGTTCTGTTTTCCAAAAAAATATATATATATATATATTTTCTGTTAGCTGCAATTAAAAAAATATATTAATTCAATTGATTATTAATTTTAATCCCTTTTTAACAGCTCTGGTTAAAACACAAWTTATGCAATCAGGTAAGGWAGGCCAAGAGAGACAGTTAAAACTTTAATAAAAGCCGTCAAATTTCAAATTACGATTGAATTCGACCTTTAAAGAAAACTCTGACAATGATCAAAMGCTTAATTAAGGAGATTCTCCATTTGTGACAAAGTATAAAACATAGATACGTAATTACACATCTGAGTCCAATCGGCACAATAATCAGTCAGCAATATTTTAGCCAGCCATTTTTAAAGTCCTTATATTATCAAAAAAAATTATATATTAGACCAAATTSTAGACCATAGGCTTTTCAATCCATGTAAGAGATTAGTTAACTTCAGCTAAAAATTGTTTTGACCTTATCAAAACAGGAGTGCAATATTATACAATARCACTTTGTTGTATAATCGAGGCACCGTTCGCTACTGTGAAGAAAGTCTTCAACATAATTAATAGAGATTGTTTTAAGCCCTCAGGTCAAGTTAACCCCTTGTAGTGCGCTACAAGGCACGAARGACATTAATGGGTATGCCAAATCTTAATGTTTGGTTCAGCTTGCACTTAACTCTTCYAAATGTTTTTATGATAATGTTAGGTAAGACAAGCTATGTTTCTATTTTACTTCTCGTTTTTAATTTACGCTATTTTTCTTATCTTATTGTTATTGATTTGTGTTTGCTGTCCAAGCGTTCACGCAAATTCATTGTTTACTATATGTTACACGTGAGATTKTCACATTCATTACAAATAGCACATGCAATCACGTGCTCACCTACATACCGGTGTTCAGTAGGGTACTAAAAAACTGACGTCCACCCGACTCATTATTGCACATTCTGAAAGTTTTGTTTTCGTTTTCGCTGCTTTTCTATTATTGATTTTTTCACAGACACCAAACTTACACTTTTTTCCTAACCGAACTATTGTATAATTACTCACCTTTAAACACGACTTTTTCGTTATTTTCAATAACTGTGCCATTCTTGGATATCCTTAGGTTAATCGACAGTATGCAACAASAACATTCCAGCAAACACTTGTCTTACATACTTCCAAGCCTTCATATCCYCTCGTATCCTAGTAAAATCTGGATTCTGTTGCACTTTGTTAAACCTCGTGGTCTGAGTGTATCAGTCTAAGAAAGCATTAGGCGCCGACAAGGAGCCATGAATGTCAAGGAAAATGTGAAAATATTCCGAAATTCCAATCACGACTTAACGATTGGCCTGCTGGTAATCGCAAAGTCTGAGCAAATATTTACTAATGCTGCCGCCTGTAACCGCTTGGTGCCACTGAGGCCATTGCGTAGTCGTATGACTTCGGCGACATATTGGCACGCATAAATGCATGGAGCTGTGGGTGATAAAAGCTGTCAAAAAGGGACTCCACTGACACATAATGGTCACTGTGCTTCATTGATAGACTCGCATGGCACATATATAGATACATATTTATATGATTTAGTTGCAGCGCAGGCGCAAAAAGGTACGCATCATAATAACGTAAGGAAGAAGAAACTGCTTTGCCACAACGAAAATGCTCGAGAAACACTCGTTTTTAAGCTTCCTAACTTAGTAAGTTCATAAAATTATTTTTAGAAATTCTGGCTATTATATTTATTTATGTAATATGCATGAAAGTATGWAAATATAGATGTATAAGTTTAAAATATTTATAATACTGAGTTTTACTCTCTCTTGCTACTCCGAACATTTAACGAAATTAGCTAATTCAATGAATATTTGCGGATTCGATCTGGCATATCTTATTCACAACTGTATTGTAATCATAATGAGCTACACATCCATGACCTGTTTGAAAATGTATTTRAATGTTTTTGGTAGCAAATTGATTGATATTTCCAAATGTTGGAGTGTCCAATCGTTAAGCTTTGTTATTATGTTTGTACGATACAAATTTCAGCTGCATTCATTATTAACCTGCTGTAGCAGTCGCTAAGGTAASGTGTGTTGTTATGAGCTTGGCGATTTTCGTTTGGATCATATAATTTGTTCATGAATTCTTGGGCAGAACCATTACTATAACGATGACTCAGCCTCCATATRGTATTTCCAAAAAAAAAAAAATWACCTTAAACGTGAGTCATCTTACAARATTTTGAAAGCGACGACATTAATGTCGTCATTTTGAGAAAAATGTATTTGAAATTCACGTCAGTTTTTGATCATCCCTGGTATTGACCCGATTGTATCCATTGTTGACAATACAACATACCATTACCAAAAAAAAAAATGCTTTCTGCGTTTCAGTAAGATAACYTAAATATTGACCACTATGTGGTATAAAGTCAAGCGGAAGTTCGAAAATTCTTATATTAGGTAAATGGGGGCAAGTAGAAGTATTGAGCATAGTTGTCATGGATATACTCTTTTCGAATTTCAACCCAGTCTACAATTTAATTGATATTGGCCAATTTGTTGCTGCAATATAGGTTTTCACCTAATTGTGGGCGGTGCTACTTCAATGCATACATTCCTGAACAAATTTTTAGATCCATATTCTCTGAAATAAGTTTAGAGAAAATTTTATTTTATAGAATAAAAGTCGCAAGTCGTACCGCTTTAATACACATATGTATGTTTATACCTATTGTACAACAACTTTGTTGTTGGATTGCATACTAAAATAAGTTTACGCAAATTYAAMTCTGAACGCTATGTTTTCGGATTGTTAAAACTTATAAATTTAYGAGACTATGTGAAACCCCTGTATACATGGTAAGTCCATATTTATCTCCATTGGTTTCAGATGTTTTATTTACATTTACATAAGCTTAATCAGAATTAAGATTACTTAAAAAGGAAAATAGGTCGTTTTGGAAGATCATGATCTTGATTTCGATCGCTATAAGCTACAATGGTTCGGTAAAAAGAATATGTACATATATTCGGATTGGACTTGATTTTGATCGGTCAGTTTGTATAGCAATTCCAAAGTGRTCCGATATCGGCGGTTCCGACAAATGAAAAACTTCTTAATGAATAAAGGATATGTGTAATATTTCTGATCTTTATCTCTAAAACTGAATGACTAGTTCGTATATGTACAGATGGATATGGCCAAAACAATTCAGCTCGTCATTATACATTATAAAGTCCTCGACATTTCCTTTTAGGTGTTACAAACTTCGYGAACTTAATGCACCCTGTTCAGTGCATAACCACGATAACAAAATGCAATCACCTTTGTTAGCATTCTTATACATTTCCTATTGGGAATGCATTCGTTATTAAATACATATACGTATATTTACTAATATACGCGTCTTCAATATTGAAAATATTTAAGTGATAAGAATGCGTGTTTMTAATATTGAATTTCTAGGTTTAATCAGATCGCGTTCATATTTTGCGTTGTTCAGACTTGACGCAGCAATCATGTACAAATTCGGGGAAATAAACTCATACGAGGGAGTTTTAGACCTTAAGGGAGTCGTTAAAGAAGTTGACGTTGAAGAAATGGAAGAGGCGTTAAATATCTGCGATCTTTCTACTCTCTCCCAAAAGTATAAAACCTGGATTAAACATATGCCGCGTGTCAAACCTTATTATGGTGAGATATGTACATWTGTATATACGTTTATGTTCAATTGATTACGAATAATTTTCAACAAGTAATATTTAGTATTACTACATGTTTAGCAGCGACTGTGTAATTCAGTAAAAATACGCAAACATATAAATTTTAGGATGATTTTTGTACATAAAAATTCATAAATATACTTATGTACATAATAGGTATAATTGCATATGTAGAAAAATAGTTTTACGAAGACATATTCTCAAAAATATTTAAATCATAGGTGTATTTATGTGAATTTTAAATTTAAGTGGCTTAAGTTAAAATCATATGTCTGGGTAAAATCTTATACATGCGGTCTAGTTTTGAATAAGTTGGTCACAGTATCTTTAAATACCACTAAGAACCAAGTCAACCTAAACTATCATTTAAATTGCCCATAGCGAAAGTGCCATGTTCTTTATAGCTTARGTATTTGAAAGTTTTTAGTTTTAAAAACAATTTTTCTAGACTTTTCATTGATTGCTTGTGAAAAGTGCTTTATTGCCATTTGGACGAATCCTTTTTCAAATAAACTTAAGGTTCTTAAACACCAATTATAATTATTACATTATTTATTTTTGAATCTTCTACACTCATCATTGAAATGTTTCCAAACTGCGGCAGGTGCCTTAAAACAAAAGAYACACAATATCGTCGAAAGTTGGTTATTTCTTTACTTGAAAATGTCAAGAGCCAAAGACACTTCTTCATTTTTGTTTTGCAGCTGTTAAGTGCAATGACGATGCCTTGATTGTGAAGGAGCTAGCTGATTTGGGAGCCGGGTTTGACTGCGCTTCCAAAAATGAAATAAAACTTGTAAGTAAATGCCGATTAACCAAATAAACATATTCAAACGATTTGACATAGGCCCTGGAAGCGGGTGCCAAATCCGAAGACATCATATTTGCCAATCCTTGCAAGCCACCGAGTCACCTCCAGTATGCTAAAGAGAAAAATATTATGGCAAGCACTGTGGACACTGAATTCGAGATCTATAAAATTTTTGAGCACTATCCGGAATCAAAGTAAGGCAATAAGTCTGATGTCTACTTGTATAATATGATAAAAAATATGTCTATAAGCAATATGATTATGGTATGTTTGGGGAAAATATTATATTTCTACTTACAGTATTAATTATAAAGAACACAGTCGCCGTTGCTCGAATAGTTAGTGAAATACGCAAGTACGTACACTTCTCATAAAACCTAAAACTCGTACAAACACTTTAGTTTTCTAGTTTATTTGTTGCTAATACGTATACGAGTATCTGCACACAGTTGGCTGAGTGACTGACTACCATTACAAAGATCGTAGCATATAATCTCCGGCGAGCTAAATTTTAAGTATTAAAATGGTATTTTCTTTTCTTTCAACGGACGTCTCGGGAATGCAAGGTCAAACTTTTCGCGAGAATTTCAAAAATAAAAAAAGRTTCTTCAAAGTACACGATGCGTTCAAAATTAGCTTAGAATTTGTGGAACTTGGTATTTTACGCATACCGTCAATGGTTTTAACAAAGTTTTTAATACATTTTGGATTTTTATTAATAATTTCTCTTTTACTTACACAATGAGCAACGACGTCATACTTTTTGATTTTGTATCAAATAACTTGGATAATGATTAAAAACTTTGAGGAGAACAGACTCACGCGTTTAAACCAATATCTAGGAGTTCTTGACAACACTTAGGATCAGTGGTTTAACAGTTCAATTGTGATTCTCGAAACCTGACCAAATCTTTTGCCAATATGGAACTTTTTATGTTTTTAGTTGAGTATGGGCTTATCATTAAAAAYGCTGTTGACTGTTCAAATGAATAACATATGTACATACATATATAAAGGATACTTTAAGACATTCGCTTTCCAAGGCATGTTCGGAATATTGGAACAATAGAATAAAAATCAAGTTACGTCATCCCTTGGTAAACTGTACGCATAGAGTTATAGACTCAATGTAATAAATAATATTYCAGATCCTGTGGAATGTTTAAGTAAACCAATTTAATGTGTGTCAGCTTCCATTTAGGTTATGCTCTTTGAAGGTTTTCAACTCTTTAATAATATTTTTAAATTAAACCAATCTCTGTATTTCCATCTATTATTTTATAAAATTTCCTCTTTGTTTTTTTGTTTCAATAATAGTCAAGAAAGAAAATTTAACGTACTGTTTACCCAATAAACTTGAAATATTTAGAAAAAATTGGTAATAACCATGAAATAACCTTAAATACTACCTCAGTATGTCAAAAAATTTTCTAACTGCTTAGGAATTTTATTTTAAGTTTGGTGATACGTTTTCGGTGTGAGGCCAAAGTAGCACAATGCCCACTGGGCGATAAATTCGGGTGTAATGCTGAAGAAGATGCTGCGGCATTGATGCTCCTCGCAAAAAGCTTGGGGCTTTCCGTGAGTATAAAATTTAAACTAAATTCAAAACCATACCAACCAAAAATTAATAWCGAATACACCAGGTGATAGGAACCAGTTTTCACGTTGGCTCCGGCTGCAGTGACTATCCAGCCTATAAGCGAGCCATTGCTACAGCAAAAAATTTGTTCAAATTCGGAGAATTGCTTGGTTTCGACATGAAGTTTTTGGACATTGGAGGTGGATTCCCAGGGGCTGACGATAATAAATTTTCTACTGTGAGTACTGAGCTAGACATTAACATTATTTTTCAATTTCTTATTTATACTAATGAATTTTTATTTTCAAGATTGCGGAAATTGTCAACATGTCTTTGAATAAATATTTTCCGGACGAAAAAGTTGAAATAATTGCCGAGCCTGGTCGCTTCTTCGTAGCTTCGGCCTACACCCTGATTTGTAAGATTCACGCCAAGCGAGAAGTGCGAGCCGGTAAGAAGGTGGATGTGAAAATGTACTACATAAATGACGGTGTATATGGATCGTTCAATTGTGTTTTGTATGATCATCAAGAAGTCACTGTGGAACACTTCTTGGTATGAAAAATATTCATTGTGATTTCATAACAGAATTTAAGGAATTAATATACCTTTGTTAGGAGGAAGATGAAAATCTTAAAAAGTTCAAGACTTTAATATGGGGTCCCACCTGTGATGCATTAGACAAAGTGTGTAACTATTCTAAGTTTAAAACGTCTCGGACCAAACATAAATCAATTAATATTCTTATCTTCTTTATCAAAATTACACAGATCATTGAGGATGCGTACTTGCCAAATCTGTCGTGTGGAGATTTGATTGCTTTTCCAAATATGGGCGCATATACGGTGCCGATCGCAAGCCCCTTTAATGGATTCATGGTGCCGAAGACATTATATTTTAAAGCAATTTGATATAATAACCACAATATTCTTCTTTTTATTTTAATTAATAATTGCTTAATTTTCTAACGGGGCTCATATTTAAATTCTGTATARAAGTTAAATATATACAGCACGTCACTGCATTAATATTTCAGCGTAAGGTTGTTCCAGTGATATTAATAATATATGTATATAACGCAGGTTACTATTATAGTTAAAAAAATATACCATAATATCGGCCGAGTTACGCCCAGGATCAAAAAACAAGAGAATTGTCTCGAGTATTTCATGGAGTATAATCAACAAATAATTACAGTGATCGTCCAATACAACGAACCTTATTCGTAATTAGAAAACTTTTAATCGAATGAGTTTTTTTTACCTTCAATAAAAAAAATCTTTTTCAATAACATTAAATACATTCAGTTTAAAATATACAAGAATGGATATAATATAATTTAACGAAAAAAGTTTAAAATTTATTTATTTTTTACAAAAAAAAGTCTTCAATTCGCGCCTCTTTTTAACAATTTCCAAGCTTTTTTATTGCAATTTATTGCAAATACCTTAGTACAACATTTTTTGATATTGATCGCCTTCTTCTTCGAATCATACAGAAACATAATATAAGATATTTCTCTAACAACATAGAATGCCTTGACAGTTTTTCTCAAGAAAACGAAATTGAGATGCATCATCGAAAGAGTTAATACGTTTTAAAAATTATGCGATACTATCCGCTCCATATTCAATAATTTTACACAAAAGGCAATTTCTGAAACGATGTTTCACTAGTCTAATAAAGTTTTTATTGATCGGTTAAATCAAGGGCGTAACATCAAGTGGCTTAAAAAGTGCCCAAATCTGTCTGTCATCGGTAACATGTTCGTTTTCAATTGATGGCTTGGAGAATAATCCAATATTTGTCCATTTATCAAAAAATACAATAACTTTTAAAACAAAAATTACTAACCAAARATTTCGTTTTTTTAAACATACCTGTGGAACAATTTTAAAGATAAAAGTAGTCAATAAAGTATACATCGAGTTGATATAAGTTTCGGGTAGAAATTTGTTTTTAAATGGTCTCCAGTTACTGGTACTCCATTCGAAATTAGACTTTCTAAACTTTAACGAAATAGAACAAACCGCACGAAAAAAGTATTTGAACTGACTGAATTAAGTCAATGGAAACTTGAAAATTTTCATTTATTTTTTCCGCAGTTGGTGTACAACAGTTAACGAAACTTTYGCTTTTGTAAATTATGCGAAGTTCAAGATAAAAATATAACAGCATTCGCAATATCGTTCAATTAAAATTCTTTGCGTACGTAATTTACAAATATTAGTAAGACAATGACAATGGTTATTTAAACCGAAAATTCGGCATAAATACCAATTTATGTAGAACAGCAAGATCAGCAACTTTTTAACGTCTTTGAGAATACGTAAGAAAAGAAGACAGTACTTAGTAAGAAAGTTGATTCCTCAACTTACCYTATACATACGCCCAATTATAACATGAAGTTACCTTTTAAATTGTGCATTATGTAACAGAAGGATATAGGCTGAAATATAACAATAACCAACACGAAGTGTCACATTTTCATAATAATTGTACAAAACTGCCTTATATCGACAATTTTATCAATTTCGACGAGTTTTATGTGATACATGTAACCGTTATGTTGCTATTGCTGTTTTATAAAGGATTTATCAAAATCTCTTATATTACAAAGACTGAAAAAATGCTCACAACTGTCGTTAAGACTAAACAGGCTGTTCTTTATTATTCTTTAACTCAATACAGGTATATTTTTAGTAACATTTTCATTTCAAAAACGGAACGGAATTCGAGTAATATGCTTATCACATTATCAAACTAGGAGCTGCCAAATCTGACCCTATTTGATAAAGCTGCTCATTAGTTTGCTAGCATGTAGCATATACGTAAAACATGTTACTCTAATTACAAAAATTAAATAATAATTTAGACAAGTTTTAAGATTAAACTAAATAAAGATATAAGATTAATACATTTGTATATTGGATGCCTGAAATGATAATGTGAGTACAAAATATTATTTTAACTTTCATAAATCTTACTTAAATGAAATTTCAAAAATTTTCAATATGTTTCAATTCCTACACTTGTATATTTGAGTGTATAATAAAATTATGTTTCTGAGTACAAACATACAACCTTCGATTATTGACCCAACTGTTTTGAAAATATTTTCATATYTTCGTTTCTCAAAGATTCTATGCCATTACTCATTACAATGCATATATTTTATAGAGCTTACTCGTAAAAAATTTAAATACTAAAAATGTGTTGCCTTATATTTTAATTGTACATACGAGTATGCGTTTGTATTTACTTACATATGTATGTGTTCGTACACATAAATATAATCTGAAACAATCAACAACTTATTTTGCATTTTACACGAACATAAATTCATCTGGAAAATGTTTATGAAAACGCACTTTCATCTTTTAATCTCGACTTTACAACTGTATGGCACATGCTGATATGTATGTATGTATTTATAACTTGTTTATTCCGTAACAAAAAGCTAATGAAGCCAGAGAGTTTTAAGACGTTAAACATCGTTGATAAAGTTTTTGTAAAAGTATTGAACTGTCAAAATATTTTTGTAACATTTCGCAAGCAACATTTCTAGTGTAAATAATTCAATAAACAGTTATTACATAGGTACATATACAGGTTACGAATGAGTATAATTTACATCCTTTTATGGAARAATATACAATTACAATAATATAATATTACAATTAAACATTTGATCGCTTTCTTTAATAAAATTGAAAAATTATTTAATTAATAAAATTTAACAAAGCTTTTTCGTGTATCCTATTCGGCTAAAGCAAATTAATTRGCATACGTTACGTAATAATTTAAATTAAAGCGATTATTTTAGGTAAATTTAACAAACGAAATTTTGAGACTATTTGGAGCACGTTTCACCAAATGCATTTTTCCGATTCTAAAATGCATATGTATGTATGTATGTAAATCGATAATATATTTTTCCAACCCTCATGCTCATATTATGAGCACAAACTACTTATTCCGTAATCAGTTCTTATATCGTGTTGGTGCATTTACATATACTTATTTAACACGCACAAAACTTTTTAATTTAAAAATTTTCTTATACTTTAATGTGATAAACGTAAATAYACACTTAGCTATATTTTGTAAGAAGCATAGAATTTGAGGTGAACTATCTTAATTTAGATTTTAAATTTATAGTTTTCATTATTTATATATACACAAACCCAAAAATGATTGTATCTCACAACGACGACATTGATTTTGCATTAGTAGCTTCCCTTTGATATTAAATCGTTTTATAGTATGTATATTAAACATATACATGCATGTATGTATATGAAGTAAAAATTATAACATATAGCTTCAGCAAATATTTAGCAAATACTTTTTCATAAACATTAGAGTAGTAATAATAGGCGTAAACATACATCTATATTTAGTTACAATAAATACASTTCATGTAGCTGTTTAGTTTCAATTGTTCTCCCTTTTAGGTAACTTACGGCAAAAAAATGTGTCAAAAAGTAACCGTCAGTGTATAACTAATGCATTTCTCTTACAGGCTATCGTAAACTTTTCACAAAACCTTAGTATTTATTTGATATGTATGTGTGTATGGGCCCAATGGCATCCGTTTGATATGTATGCATATACAATTTTCAACAATGTACTCAAATTATTTTCAGCAATTATATCTGTGCGCGTATCTATGACACTCTTCAACAGTACCAATGTTGTGGCGTGGTACCAATGTATATATATTTATGTATGAACGTATTTCGTCCCTGCTTGTAATAACAAACACGCTTCTAATGCAATCTTTTGCAGTGTTTTTTTTTTAATTCCAGTAAACTTGTTCCTCATTGTGGCGACTTAGCGTGACAACTTAAAACCTACGCACTGCGGCCAATATGCTGAGGGCTACGTTGGTTAGTACAGCACTGCTAAGTACGGTGGGAGCAGAATTTTTGCCACCACAATGCATCTTCTCCAATGGCATTGTTTGTACATAGTATTGTCGATTTTCTATTGGCATGAGACAAGTGGGCTTCTTTTTTTGTGCCATTTCGTCATCTCTGTTCTTCAGATCTTGCAAAAGCTTCGGGAACCAGGTAAGCTCACACGAGCAAACCAACGGATTATCTATGCACGGTTTGGAGTGTTTAATATTATAAATAGCTGTATTWTAGGTACTTTAAGTGAGTTTACCTGTGATGTCGATTATTCGCAGCGTGTCGGTGATTGGCTCCATGATATCTTGAGGTATCCGCGACAGCTTGTTGTTTTGGATGTTGAGGGTTTCGAGTGAATTCAGATTTTCAAAAATCATACTCGGTAAAACTTTCARGCTAAAAATATAAAATATGTACCATCATATATATAATTCCGTTAGCAAATTTATGTAGCTAGAAGTTAACATACTCATTCTTTTGGAAATTGAGGAACGTCAGTGAGTCTCCATAACCAGCGAAAGCGTCTTCTTGTATAAAACTTATGTTGTTATTTCTTAAATCTAGGTGACGCAGCCGATGCAGTGGACGCAAAGCTTCGCTGGGTATAGACTGAATATTGTTATCACCCAAGCGGAGATATTGAAGATTTTCTAAAAAACAAAATAAAAGTTTGTTTTGAAAACTAAAAAATACACCATGCATTATATAATAAAATAACATCAACCTTCCAATCCTTTGAAAGCATCCTTGTCTATGATTTCTATTTTATTCCCCTCTAATTCCAATGAATTCAAAATACTCAGATGGGAAAACACATTGGCAGGTACAGTAGTGATCATGTTGTGCGCCAAAATCAAAGAATCCAAACTTTCCATTCCTTAAATTGTGTTATTAAGTATTTTAAACATTTTACAAATTCCAAACCCATTTTTATATTATAATACAACACCTGCAAAATCGCCTTCACGAATGCTTCCGATTTTATTCTCCTGAATTTCCAATTTCTTCAGAGTATCAAGTATAGAGAGAGACTGTTGTGGTACCGCAGTAAGATCATTTCCTCCAAGATTTAATCGTTTCAGTTTTCTAAATTAAATTTAAAGTCATAAAAGGCGCTTTCTATTTAATTATGAATGTATGTAGGTGAATTATCATATGCATACATATGTATGTATATGTTACAACRAAATGTAAATTATAGCATTTAAATTAAAACTTCAATTTATATTTYCTTAAGCCGATTTAGACATACACACAGTTGACCGGAAAGCAATATCATCACCACGCTCCAAAGAGCATACATCTATATACAACGTCTACCAATAGGAATGAAATGATTACTTTTTACTATAATAACTCCCGTTAAGTAATCATRATTCTGAACTAATAATAAATATATGTATGTCATTTTAAGGACAGAGGAATTAGTATTGTAACGTATAAAATAGATTTTTCTGAATTTTCTCGGATATAAGAAATGTTAAATAATGAGATTTTATACAATATTGCTATAAGTTGTTCGTTGGGGTACAAATTTCAAAATATAAGGAAATCATCTTCCCTGAATTACAATCGCAATTTTTTAAAGACCAGCTTTTATTTAGAATAATGTTTAATACAAACGCTTCACTAAATACACTTACTTTTCAAGTCCTCGGAAAGCTTCGGGCTCTATGCTGACAATTTTGTTCTCGTATAACGTAAGTATTTCCAAAGTATCCAAACCTTCGAACGCATTATTATGAATAACACTGATTTTGTTGTGATTCAAATTCAGTATTAACAAGTGGTAAAGATGCTTTAAGGCTGCAGATGGTACTGTCTTCATTTGATTCTGCGAAATATCCAACTGTGTGAGTCCGTTACCTGTAAGAAATATTTYCACACCATTCTAAATAGTTATAGGTGAAAAATGCTCGCACTTATGTACCTAATGAGCTGAGCGCATTTTCCTCTATGGCTGCTAAACTACTGTTGTGAATTGTCAAATGGCGGATGTCAAGCGCAAGAAAAACAAATCCTTGCAGTTTAGGTAGGTTGTTGTGACGTAATTTTAAATAGAAAATGATGGGACTCTGCCCTTTCAAGGTGCCCATTGATTTTGTTATATGTACCAAGTCCGTGGTTTCACACAAAATATCCAAACCATTCTTCTTCACTGTACAGATACAGGGTGCAATGTCATTCTGCTCGGGACACACCTGTTGCTGCGGTGGATTTTGGGCGTCAATTTGTAGTATTCCAAGTGAAAGCGCCCAAAACGCAATCGTCAGGCCATATACGAAGAGGCTGCCACTGGTAACGCTGAAGACTTTGCCTTTTGTCGCCACCGCCATTTTGCGCTGTCACTATTTAGTTCTTTACTACTATGTAAGCGATCTCCCACGCACCCGCGCTGTTAATTTGATTCACGTTCTAAATCCGTCGTGTCGTGGAAGCTGCCTGTCAGTAAATCAATTCACTTCTATTATATGCCTGCAAGTTGAAGCGGAGGAGATGTGATTAACTAATGATCATATGAATAAAGCCCCAATCAGAGGCGAAATGAATGTGAAATCGTGCAGATTCGGATGCATGTACACAAATCGCACATATAAATATAAATCTACCTATTATGCTAGAATAAAAATGCATGCAAGTACCTCTACAAACACCACACRCCGAAAATCCAAATTGGGTGAAGAGACTTGCACGACTGCTGATACGACTAGTTGTGAAATGTCCAAACTTCCAATGATAACGGAACAATGTTTGGAAGTGGTTAAAACTAACCGCGATGTACTTCTACCTTGGAGGCCTTGACTATTTTTTCTATCTGCATATATATATATATATATATATACATATATATATACAATAATAGAAGGCATCCATCTTTGTCTGTGCCAACGCTTGCAGAAAACCAGAAACATTTTTGGTACGAGGTTAAGTGAACACCTCATATGTATATATATAAAATCTCAAGGTAAGGTAAGTAAGGTTGACATACCTATTTCCAGATATGTAAAATATTATTCAAAATAATTTAAAAACAAAACAAAATATTTTAATCTGTTACTTATAAAATAAGTGAGCTCACAAATTCCAACTATCGTTCGTGAGCTCAGATTATAAGGKATTACTACTGGGTATATTATATATGTTCATACATATATTATACATTAAATGCATGTGCAGGTATAAATCAAAACGTTTTAAATTCAAAACTACAAGTTCTGTAATTTTGCACAAATTAACCTGAATTAAATAAAATAAACTTACATATGTAGTAACTGGTGACTGAACAATGCATGCGACTCAATTATGGACGAATATTCCCTTCTAGTATATACACAGAATATACCGGCTATCTAATAGACGAAATAGTAAATGAACAAGACGAATGCGCATAGCGTGATTGCATGCACCCGCCACTTATTTCAATAGAATAAATCCTTTTTAAATAGAAATCTCTTATATACTGATATCCGGATTTTATACAAAAAAAAGGTGCTAATTAGCGTCAAGTGAAATTTGTAGCCGAACAATAAATTTGTCATACATCTACTTAAATCACCCGAAAGATTCAATTGAAACAATATAATCTACATTAACAGCAAAAGTGGACTTTAACAACACACACCACATACATGACTAACTATGTCTGGAAAAAAATTCTCCTTTAAGTTTTCAAATTCAGACAATGTTTATTTGTTAATTTACAAAAACAGTTGTATAAAAATTTATGATGATTATTAATTAGTATTTAAATGTTATAAATTAAATAACAATAAAATTCCTAAGCAATAGTAAGATACTTTTGAAATAATAATAATTATTATTACTTACCCAATTTGGAAATCGTCATCCCTTGCAGAAGTACCGACTTTATCATGCCTTCGGACAATGTTTCATTAAAGGCAAAGTCATTTACTTGCATGCATACGAGTTTAGTCCACAACAGTTCGACGCTCTGGGTCATGAATATCGGTTTGATTTGTTTATACCAAGAAACGACTACGTCCCTTGCCCCTATTATTGGTCTATAAGTTTATCAGACAACAGTTCATATGTAATTTGAAAATCGGTACGCGCCAAATCGAAGTCAGTGTGAAAGAATGTGGGTTGGAATAGATTTGAATTCTCTGCATCCACCAAATTGTCAAGTGGTCAAAAAAGAGAATTAATATTCTATTATAATCAACTTTAAGATAGAATATATATGTATGATGTGTATATTTGGTTTATAAACTATTTATGAATTTATACTATATATTCGTTGATGGGTTCATTTCCAAAATTCTTTTTATTGCATTAATTTCAGGTGTGCATGCTCTACAATGTTTGTTTGTGTATGTATAACAGTGACTTAAGAAAATCAATATTCTGACAACACAGACTGAAATTAGGCGAACCATACATACACACATACAGCCACCCCAAAGAATGGGCTTGTGAAAGTTACTCACTTATTATTCTTCCCCTAAATCCACATTCACAGTCACACACACCGTTAATATTTTTGTATGATATTCCCTTTGTTAGAAGTGAAATTAATTGTTGCTTCCTTAGTAGCTCTCTATATCTAAAGGCATTTCATTCTTTTCTTGTTTTCTGCTTTCAAGCTACTCCAATGTTCTGTGTCTGTTGTACAAAAGCATACACACATACATAGGTATATAGGTTAGAACTATTGTTTTCATGATAATTGTATCCAATTCCGTTTATTTTAATATTTTAAAATTATTGAAAATTCGAGTTTTTATGTAAGTTAATTTTCATTACGTCTGCCACAACGTCCCAAAAAAAATTCACTGCGATTTGCTGCGCTCGCTCAACGCTTATCGAACAGACAGGAAATCCCGCGCGCGTGTTTTAACTGTAACACCGACAACCAGAGACTGATTCTAATGAGAGAACATTTCAACGCATTCGAAATCAAATCGAATGGGGTTTGTTCGGCTAGGCGCAATTGACATTCTCACCATTCTCATCTGTTGAATAATAAAATTTGGTTAAAATTACTAATATTCTATATAAATCGAAAGTTAAATAAATACGAAATATGTAAGAAAACATTTTTTTTCATCCAAATTATTTAATAAAACGGAGTAGTTCCTTTCAACACTACCCTAAAAATATTAAAACAAAATTCTACAATTATTAAAAAAAAAACAAGGTGACAATCGCACACATTTCAACTAAATAAAAAAATTATCAACTAAAATGTTTTTTTTTTTTTTTTTTACCTTTCACAGTAAGATTTTTAATAGATCTTTATTACCTCTGTAGGTCTAAGATTTATTTTGCAACAATTTTCATTTTCAAAATAATTGAAAAATATAAGGCATTTTGAACGGGACAAAAATTAGAAGTGATTTTGCGGAGAATGATTCAAAAGCTGATTTTAGCGAATCGCACAGGAGAATTCTGAGGAAATATTTCAAATGTTGCTGATATTATGATTGCTTTTAAAATTAGTATGCATTATTCTTAAAAATGCTTCCTAGCATTTTATTAATTAAGTATTTACCACAGTCGAACGCGAATTTTTTCATAATAATATTTAATTATGTGATAACAAAACAGCAAAAACTTGCAGTTTTTTCTATTTGTGCCTTTAAAAGATTTTACGCAGAGAAAAAGTTAATATGTTTATTACACGTTTCTTTAATACAAATTTGAAATAGAAATATCGAAATTAGAAAAGTAGTTCCAGCGCGATTAAGCCTTCGTATATCTTAAAAAGTAAAAAATCTTAAATTTGATTATTTTTCTACAAAAAATATGATAAATAATTGTAGTTTTAATAAATAATTTTCAGTATTTTGGCATATGTATATTATAACATAATACCTGTATCCAATATAAAAAACATAGTATTTTTTTACTTCCATGTACAAATGAACTGATAATGAATACCRTTAAATTTCTCTCCTTTAAAATGTTCAATGATTTTAAGACAGTATAACGACAAAAAACAATATAAAATTACCGAAGAAAATTACGAAAATTTATAAAGAATAATACTATAATACAGCTTTTACACGTAATATTAAGACTGTAATACTGATAAAGATTATTATATCTAATATTATACCGTTTCCAATTTTTTAGATTTAATATTTTTAAAGAATCGTGCCATTGCCGCTTGTACTGCGCCAAAAGTTTTTGGAATCTGCAAGCTACGTGTTATCCACTGTGGCAACTTCGCTTGAATATCAGCCCTGCAATACCGCTCGTCCAAAAGCAAAACGCAAGCGTAATCGTTGATATGCCGCACAGACCTTCCGATGCATTGATTAACCGCTTTCAGGCAAAGATTCTCATAATATTCATTGCCGTTGCCTGAGCCCAGTGTCTCATCTAAATACCGCATACGCTCCTGTAACTCAACAGATTGTCGATTTGGATAAGGCATGCCCACGACAATAACACACCTTCCCAGATCATCTGCAAAGTCAAGACCCTCACTTAATTTTCCTCCGACAACGCTGAAAAGAAGCGCTCCACCACCACTTTGCGCTTTTATCGCCGCACTGTAGTCATTTAAAAGCTTATCGACCGACGAGCCYGCCGCCTCASCTGTACGAGTCTCGGAAAATACAAGTTTTTTCGTCGCAATTCTCTCCAATATGCCGCACTTTTGCAAATAATTATATATCAGGTCTAAATATTCATACGAAGGAAAAAAGCAGATAATTCCTGCGGGTATTACATTGCAAACATTTTGAATAATCATGCCACATTCGGTAAGCTGCGATAATTAAAAAACAWATCGTCTCATTAGTTAGTAACTAAATCAATGTTTTGAAGTATATGAATGTATATAATAAATGCATCCATAAGATTAATAAACCGTGTTAGAATTTCTTCAAATAGGCTCTCAAGTGTAATTTGCAAATGATCACTTCCATTTCAGTCAATCCTATTAGATTTGCTTATCCGTATTACTATATGACCTTAGTATTAATCTTAGTAACCAAATATAATCGTAGTTATACCCGTATATGACCGAAAGGTGCTACAAACACGAAAACATTGCTTTTGTCTCAAGCCTAAAATGTCACAGTGTCATTAGGCGATTGTTCACTACAAATAGTACAAATTTATGTATTTACGTAACGGTGCATTTCTTCTTACGGTTTTCAAACGTTGTTAAATTGAGTTCATCCTTAAACTCTTCTAACGAACCATACAGGTATACCGAAAAAAGTGTTCTAAAGATATATACGATATTGCAATTACAGTCTGGATATTGCAGTCGATTAAATTCTCCGACACAATTACTTAAAATATTTTAGATAAAAACAATAATTCGTTGAAAACTAACTTATCTAATACTCTTCTCACTTTTGACAAACCCAGTTGAATCAGCCTTCTGCACCCAATGATACCCGATATTAACCAATTGAGTTCTTACCATATCTTTAGTACTGCGCTCAGTATAATTGAAACAAAGACGGCGTCCTGTTGGTCCTTGTGCAACTATTAGAGGTAGTACTGCATCGGATGACACTACGTGATCATAAAAATGCTCCCGAACTCGATTGGGACATGCGCTAAATAATTGCTCGGTCAATTCTCTGGTCGGTTGCATTGTGCCTCCAGCCACAATTATCTAGTAATATTTATTATGTTGTAAATATATATAATGTTAAATAAAAAAAGAAAAAAAAAACGTTGCTGGAAATACTTACAGAGCGAGCATCTTGGATAACATCCGCGAAGTGGGCGCCAGGATTTAATAAAATGTACTTAAGCGTACTGTTGCTGACAACACTAGTTCCATCGACCCTTACAACAACACGTCCATCCTCCGCTTTTTCAGTTAATGATTGAATAAACGTGAGGAGAGCGCGGAAGGGTGCGCTATTTGGTGTTACRGTATTTAAACTTTTTTGATTATTTACGTTATTTACATTATCTATTTTTTCAAAGGCAGTTTTATTCTTAAGATTATTTTGTTGTGAAGTCTCAATTTGTTTAAGGAGTTGTTTTGTAGCTGAACTTTCCAAGTGTTCATCTACTGATGCTTTTGAAAGATCTGGCTTTTCGGAAAACCCTTGCAATTTTTGGGCAAGTCGGGATTTATCACAAAACTGTAGTAAAGCAAATAAGTCGATGTTATAAAATTCAGCTTCTGCAGTAAGTTCGTATGTGCGAAGAACTCTAGAAATTGGCAACATTTTTCCTGCAGAGACAGGTGCGTCAGTTTGCAGTATTTTTACAAGTCGTTTTACAATGAATATCAGTTGGTTGATTTTAAGTAAACTGACTGCACTGAACCGTTTTAAGTACCGCATTTTATACGTAGTAAGTTGTTGTTGTACTAATAWTAGCTGTTGCAAAGTCAATTCGCAGCTATGCAAATGAGCAATTGTATCTAGCAAATTGTGTGCCTCGTCTATAATCACAATGGCACCTCGCAAATCGATGCCTGCCTGGAGACGCGTCTGCCGATGCAGAAGCATTTGATATGTGAGCATTATAAGTTGTGCTGACTTCGCAGCTTCTCTTGCCGCGTAATAAGGGCACGCATTTATTGATTCACCTTCCATCMCCAACTCCTCGATATCCATTATATTAAACAAAGCAGTTTCGCTTAGATTCTGCATCAAATTAACTTTGCGATATTTACAACATTTCGTCCCTACGTTCTCTTTGCCTTCTTTATTTTTTGGAACCAGATCTAAGCACTTTTCGTTCATGAGACTTACGTTAGGCAATTTTTTCACTAGCGGATTTATACATAATTGCTGACGGGATGCTAAGGACACACATCGTATTCTTCGGCCGTATGGCGTGCGTTTTACTTCTCGTACGACTTGCGCTAGCTGTGAATGAGTTCGACTGCAGAAAAATACCTGGAAACCAAATGCAATTTATTTATGTTGTAGAGAGAAAAACATATTCTATAAAAGACTGTATCCGCGATTCATACTCCGATATTTTAAATCTTAGTGATCTAATGAGTAATGTTATATATATATATATATTTATCCAATGAATTTCAAATTAATAAAAAAAGTTAATTTATATAAATCTTATCAGATTATAGGATATTATAAATTATGAATTCTATGAAATAAATGTACCAATTTTTGAAAATTACATATGAGGTTGTTACCTGAATGGGACGATATTTATCTTCTTCATTGTGGTTATCTTGGTCATGCCTATCAAAATTCCCAGAGCGCTCATCCCAATYAACGATATCAGTCAATTTATCCTCAGCGTTTAAATCGGTTTCTACTACCATTTTTTTCGAATTATTATTCCGGCGTTCTTTTTGAAAATCTATTTGACGCTCATACATTTCTTTTAATGTATCATGATGTAACTGCAATAATTTTTGGAAACGGCGGTGGGTGACAAGTTGTTTCTTTTTCTCCGTAGCTTCATAGCTGGCAGTTATCCAATCTTCCACCACATCAACTGTACTCCCAATACGTTTAACTTCTATGTCCAGGTTGGAAATACGTTCTGCCAATTCTTTTCGCTCCAAATTCTTTAAAAAAAATTATTAATACAACAATATTTTACGAAATATATTACCTCACGATCTTCAATCCATTTCAAAACAGAACATGTTAAAGTCAATGATTTTCCTGTTCCTGTTGGACTCTCAAATATACCAATCGACTTTTGGGTCAAAGTATCGTAAACGGCTTCCATTAGCTTCTTCTGTATTTCGTAAGGAGTAAATGGAAATTCATAATCATTTGGAGCATCTAAACATTTTTTAGGCGAAAACATATTTGACTTTATTTATTGAAGTGTTCATTAAAAAGATTTTTTTTAGTTCGAAACATAAATTAAATATAAAAATGCCCGCCCGCCAGTTTTATATCTTTCTCTGTGTTTGTGTTTTTATTTGTCTACAAATTTTGTATTGACAGCAAAAACTACATCCAAACAAACAGAGCGAATGAATTTATAATAGCAACTACACACGTTGTGGAAGTAAGTACAATTTCTGAAAGAGCCGTACAATCGGATGATAATAAAACTCTTCAAATTGCTGGAGGCTGAATGAATAAGTGGATTATTATTAACTTTTAATTGTGATTTAAATATGATATTATAAATATTTAACGTTAATTAATAATGCTGTAGATTCAGCATTTATTATTTTTGTTTAGTGAAGCATTTAGATGAAGGAACGTTTCCAAAAGCTTGTGCTGGGCAGCTGTACCTACTCCAATCTTTGAGAGTGCGCAACTTTGGCTTCTTTGGTTAGGGAGTTAAGGGTAGTCTGAATTTTAAAAAAATCGATTTTTTTTGTTTTGCATTTTCATACAATATTAAAAGTAATCTCTGCAAATTTAAGTGAAACCCACAAATATTTTTTGAGAGATTCAATAATATGTAGGAGTGCTCAGCCGCTGTCAAAACTATATTTGTGAAAAACTAACGTCGGCAATATTACGATTCCATTGGCGCCGCGATTTGATGGTAGGGATGGATAGAGGAGGTCTTCAGGATTAAAAAATGTGTGCATGTATACTCACGTCAGACTCATAGTTTTCGAGAAATTTCTAATTTCTAATTTCTAAAATTTCAAAAATTTGTAAAAACAATGGTCGTTATTTCACTATGTTTAACCCATTTTTCACACATTTTTCAATTAATAATATATACATATATTTAATTACACTGTACACATTCAAATACATCATAAATTTACACTAATTTTATACTTAAAAAATAATAATAAATATACTTTAAAAACTATTTTGTAAATTCAAACTTTCAAAAGATTTGTGTGTTTAAATTTATGACAAATAGTAGTGTTGCCATACTTTTTTTGTCTTTTTGTTTCGACATCTCTTTATTTATTGAATCTTCTTTTTGTTTTAAAAACCTAACAACAAGTTATAAAATCTTAAATCTATTTAAAAACTAGACACGCTCAAGCTGATTTGGTGATACATTGCTCCTTAGTACGCGGGCATATCTTTTCTTTTAAGGTGTSTTTGATCGCAAGAATGTATCAAAGCATTCAAAGCATTAGCCAAAGGGTTTGGGTGATCACGGAGTTTAGATGTATGTATATTTAATTCTGCTATCTTCTACTTCTTTCCTTACCATAGAAATACCAAGGCCTTTCTGGATATTTTACATACATACATCCAAATCGGCTTTATGACCACATTATATAAAAGCACTCTGTTGTCTAGGTTAAGTTTGGAGTTTTTATTTAATAGGTAATTTAAATTTTCAGCCCTTATCTTTGTGTACTGAAAATATTGTTGCGAATTTACTCCTTACTAGTTTACTCTACTAGGTTCGTATCTCTGGATTGACAAATAAAACCAAAAATCGTTTAATTCACTTTAACAAAATCTCCTTATTTCACAATTCGTCTACACTATAGCAGTTTACTCATAGCACTCCTCCCTTACGTTGGCGCTACCACGGCTTATATAGCCACGCACTCCTCGATGATGCCGACGTGTACCTCTAGAATATTGCGTCTGGCAATTATAAGAACATAAATGCTATACATTCCATATACAGTTAATGTTTATACTACTAGTAGACAAACAGACAACCGCGGCGCCCGATGTTTATAATAAGGAATGCAAATAGCAAGACAAACACACGTAATGCTATACATTCCATATACATGCARCTATACAGTGCAGAAAATACAGTAAGCAGTACTTTGCTTCTCAATTGCCTACTCGGTCCGAAGTAGCACCTGTTGGCAAGAGTTATCCTGCGTTAGATTTCCAGGCTGACATTGTTCGTGGTGTTTACGCTGGTTCAAAGATAGACGAAATTATCTGCGACTTCTGCGATATTGCATYTTGCCCTCGTTCAGTGCCACACTCATCTGTTTCGCTACACCAACAACTGTACACTCTTATAAAAGATGGTACCTGTTCGATTAAGTTCTGCAGCTCGAACTATTTTTTCCAACAGCAGGTTGAAGAAGTCGCACGATAGGGAGTCGCTTTGTCTGAAACCTCGTTTGGTATYGAACGGCTCGGAGAAGTCCTTCCCGATCGTGACGGAGCTTTTGGTGTTGCTCAACGYCAGTTTACACAGCCGTATTAGTTTTGCGGGGATACCAAATTCAGACATCGCGGCATAAAGACAGCTCCTTTTCGTGCTGTCAAAATCAGCTTTAAAATCGACGAAGAGGATTTAGCGCGTTGTCGGTTGTTGATTTTCCAGGTCTRAAGCCACACTGATAAGGTCCAATAAGTTAGTTGACGGTGGGCTTTAATCTTTCACACAATACGCTCGATAGAACCTTATATGCGATATTAAGGAGGCTTATCCCACGGTAATTGACGCAGATTGTGGGGTCTCCTTTTTCAAGAATTGGGCATAGAACACTTAAATTCCAATCGTTGGGCATGCTTTCGTCCGACCATATTTAACAAAGAAGCTGAAGCATGCTCCTTATCAG